CAAGCTGACGCTGCTGCTGCTGCACCTGGGGCTGGCGGCCGCGCCCATGGAGCCCGTCAAGGGCACGCTGCTCGGCTTCTTCACCGGCGTCGAGGTGGTGATCTGTGCCTTAGTGGTGGTGCGCAAGGACACCACGTCGCACACCTACCTGCAGTACAGCGGCCTGCTCACCTGGCTGGCCATGGCCACGCAGATCCTGGCCGCCGGCCTGGGCTGCGGGCTGCTGGGCGACGGCATCGGCTACGTGCTCTTCACCCTCTTCGCCACCTACGGCATGCTGCCGCTGCCCCTCACCTGGGCCATCCTGGCCGGGCTGCTCGCCTCCCTGCTGCAGCTCGGCATGCACGCCCTGCTGCCCCGCCTGCCGCCCGCCTCCGTCAACCAGGTACCGGCTCCCGGGGCCGGGGCTGGGGCTGGGGCTGGGCCGGGGCCGGCGGGGTTTGACCGCGGGGGTGAAGCGGGAGTCGACGAGGGGGTGAGAAGGGGCTGCATGACTTGGTAGCGGAGTGCATAAGGGAGCTGAGTGGGTTGAGATAAGGAGTTGATAGGGCGGTTGATAAGGAGCTGATAAGAGTTTGATGAGGGGTGAAGGGGTCGGTAAGTTGACAAAGGGGGTTGATAACGGTTTGGAAGCGGGTCTATAAGCTGGTTTGATAAGGAGTTGATGGGGATTTGCTAAGGAGCTGATAAGAGTTTGATAAGGGCATGAAGGGATCTGATGAGTTGATAGGGGTGTGATAAAGGTTTGATAGGCGTCTGTAAGGGGGTCGATAAGGGTTTGATGCGGGAGTTAAGCGGCTTGGTAAGGAGTTGATGGGGGGGTTCATAAAGGAGTTGATAACTCTTAACCTAACTCTTAACTCCCTTATCAAACTCTGATCAACTCCTTGTCACACTGCCTTGATCAGGGTTTGATAAGGGAGTCGAGGGGGGCTGATGAGGAGTTGATAGCGCTTTAATAAGGGGCTAAGGGAAGTCCCCAGGAGAGCTCGATTAAGGAGCTGATAATGCTGGATAAAGGTTTGATGGGGAGGTTTATAAGGGGCTTGATGAGGAATTGATAAGGGGGTTAAAGGGGTTTGGTAAGCGTTTCATAAGAGGTTGCTAAGGGGCTCCAAAATCCTGCCCGGTGACGAGGAAGTCCGGAGGGTTCACCCTGTCCTGTCTCGCGAAGCGGGAATCGGGGCCAGGGCACGAAGTAGTGCACAAGCAGCCCCGGGCAGCGCGGCAGGGTGATGACAGACGCGGTGGCAGCGGGCAGGTTAACCCGGCTCGGAAAAGGGGCCAGGCAAATGCCTGGAGGAGCGGGGGGCATCGGTAGCTACTGAGCAGGGGCGTGAGGGGCCCGGCCTCTGGAGGAGCACGTCCGAGACCCGAAATGCTGGAGGCTGCAAGTGTGGGGGGCGCCTGGTCACTGCATCCTCTGAGCATCCACTGTCTGCCCCGGTGACACCGGGCACTGGGCAGGGTGGATCTACGTCTGACCCAGGGCAAGGCAGCTGTTGTGTCCACTCACCCCTGCATGTGGAGAGCCAGGGGGCACTGGGGAAAGTCAAAAAGAGTGTGTGCGGGTAATGAAATACGATCTCCGAGCCCTGCGAGGAGCGGGGAGATGCCCCCTGGCTCCGCGGCGCTCGGGCGGGCTCCAGAAGGGGGTTGCTCTGCACGGTGGGAGTGGGAAGAGCAAACAGGATGGTCCTGGGCACTTGCGGGCAGGAGCCCGGCGGGCACGAGCCCGGGTAGGGAAGGCAGCCTGGCTGTGCGGGGCTGGGTGGCAGGAAAGCCGGAGGGAAGAAGGAACTTGGCGCTCTCCTTGCTCCCGCAAACACTGACGCCCTGAACCGCCCGAGCAGCGGCGAGCCTTCCTCCCCGGTCTCCCAGTCGGGAGGCGGCCGTGCAGAGCAACTTCGCCCTTCAAGGGCCATCGCTCCTCTGCCCCCTGCCCCTTCCTCCCGCCACGGCTCGGCGCTCCCAGCCCGGCTCAGCTGGCTGCACGGGGGGCGGGGCAGGTCACCCCAGCCGGCGGAAAGCACAGTCTCAGTGTCCTTTCCGATCTCGGCTCCTTGGGGGCTTCTGCGGTTGCCACGTCCCTGGTGGCTGGCAGAAATGTGCGCTAGGAGTTTGGACGGGGTTGCTCCCATGCCAGCCGGCTGCCTCCGGTACAGCCGTGCCGGTGTCCGGGCCGGCCGCGGCTCCTGCACAGCCCCGGGTGCCCGGCGGCTGCGCGCGCATGTCGGACCCGGGTCTCGGGCTGGGGCGCAAATACTGATCGCCGCCAGCTCTGATGCCCGGCTGCCTCTGCGTGCCAAAGCCGGGGCTGCAGATGAGTTAGGCACAGCAGGCACCGCGTGTGTGTCGGTGTGTGTGTGTTTAGATACAATAG